AAAAGCTCTTATAAGAGACAGAGCATGAAGTCTTGGATGTGAAAAGTTCCATGAATAACGGGAGGGAGCCAAATGAGAGTCCCAACCTCCTCCTGAGGGAAAACAAGGCCTGGAATTTGCTTTGGGTCCAAACTGAGGTTCCAAGTGCTCCAAGACTTGTCTCCAAAAAATAAAATGTTGTCAGCAAAGCTCACACCCTCAAAGAGAGATGAAAAGCTCCCACAAGTATCTCTGGACTAAACCAAGGCTCCATTATCTCTGGGCAGTCGCAGGGCTCTGTCACAGAGCAGCACCAAGAACTAACAAAGCTTTGCAATGACACTGATCTGTTCTGCCCCAGCCCAAACTGACACAAAACCAACCAGCCCATCCCAATTTCCACAAAACAGCTGCTGGAACACCAAGTCTGCACCTCCCAGGTTATTTGCTTGCAAACAAATGGCTGAACATCCTCCAAACACAATAAGGATCTCATTAGAGCTTTAATTTTGCCCTTCCCTTCACTTGCCTTCCTGGCTTTGGGGAAAGCAGTGAAGTTCAAGGCTGCAGAGAAAAGGAGGAAGGAAGAGAAATTCCTGCAGGCCCCAGAAGTTTTCTATTAAAGCTGCTTTAAGGCTTCCCATGTGGTTCCAATAGACACAGCAGTGCCCAGCATCAATAGCACCACATGAAAGCACTGAGCTGGCCTGCAAAGTGCTGATACTGAGGAAAAGGCAACACCAAATAAGCTCATGTTTGTCTTTTTCTCCTCTTCTTTTCTCCCCTAATCACCCTCCCTACCCATCTGCCTGCTCAGACACCACTGGGATAATGCAGAACAACTGCTGGGCTCAACCCACGCCCAGAGCCTGGGGCCCTGCATGGCTGAGGATGAGATAAATGGGATAGAAAATCCTTTTTGGGCTCTGCACAAAATTTAGCCACTTTCTCTGCCACAGACTCGGGACAGGAAGCTACATGAATGCACCCTGAGAACTCTGATTCCAGCCATATTTCCTCACACTTTCCTTTCGAGTTGATGCCTCAGGTTTGGCTTTTCTATTCTCCAGATTCTGTGCTGATGCCTCAGGTTTTGGCTTTTCTATTTTTCACATGCTGTGCTGCTTTAGTGTGTGAGTCTGGGTTCACATCATGGGATGGTGAGCTCTGTGCACAGAGCAGGGAGACAAAACAATTCCTGCTCCAGCTGGGCACCAAGGACAAATGATCCAAATCTCAGCCCAGGAGCACAAACACCGTGGGCTGGAGAGAGAAAAACAAGGGTGGGACTGGACTGCATGGGCTAAAGCTGAAATTGGACAATTATTCACTCCAAGATGCAAACTGAGCAGAACTTATAATTTTGTGACTGATCATCTGTTTTTTAGGACCATTAAGGTTCATCCTGGGTTCATTTTGGAACAATTTTGGTTCATCTTGGGTGCAGCCCTGGCTGGGCTCTTGTGCTGCCCAAGGTGGATCCATTGAGGAGAAACTTTTCTGAAATCCCTGCTTTATCCTGTAACTCTTTCCAGTCCCGCCTTCTCAAGGCACCACAATGACAGCAGCAGGAATTCTGAGCCCCACAGAGCGTGGGGATGTCCTGCCCTTGGACAGCTCTGTCCTCCACACCAGCAGAGCATCCCAAAGTGCTGCAGTTTGGGATTTGGGTCAGACAGACTGACCACAAATGGGAACTGAGTGACAAAATGTGCTCTGAATCAACACGAATCAACAACCTCTTATCTTCCAAGCCAGCACAACTTTCCTTTTGAACCTCATGATGCTTCCAAGACAAGAGAAATAATTCACCTTCCTTTTGATTCCTGACTCAGCAGCTCAACAGCAGCTTGTAATTAATTTACAATTTAAATTCCCAACTGCACCACCACGCTCAGGTGACCCATTTTCTACTCCTGGGTGTAAAAATTTTTTTTTTTCATTCCTGTTCACACTCTCTGCCAACCCAAAGAGCAACCTGGGGTCCTCAAACCATTCCCAGATCCAAGGTAATCCCTGGGAGCAGTGCAGGGATAACAGGATCATTTCTTTTTTTTCCCTGGCATAACAGAACTCCAAAAAAAAAAAAAAAAGGAAGCAGAACAGAACAATGGACATCCTGCTGTGCTTTGTTAACAAACCTCTGTCAGGAACATCCTCCCCTGGGAGGAGACAGCATCCAGCTGCTAAATCCATGAAGGAACTGGACATGCAACACAACTGAGGCAGTTTTAAGGATAAGCCACAAGTCCTAACAAAGCTCAGGTGGGCCAGCACCTGATAAAGCTCTTAATTGAGCAGTTCTGGGCTCAATTTTAAGTCTCTTTGAAGGGTTCACATCTTTTTAAGGTCAGAATCTGCATCATGACATCATTTTAGGGATTTAGTTTTGAACTTTGAAGTGTTTAGCACTCTGCCAGTTTTATTGAGCGTCCATCTCAAAATAATATTTACACCTGTGTGACCCTAAAAGCTTCATTTTTATGACAACAGGACCTACCTCCAAATAATTCTGGACTCCAACCAGGGCCTGATCACTCTTGGTCTCCATAACCCCACTGCAGAGCAAAACAAGTATGATTTATTGATGTCAACATTTAGGGACTTGACAGAGCCCACCAAAAAATTCAGGACTTCTTGGATCTTCCCACAGAACTTGCAGGGACCAAACACTGAGGAATGGGCAGGGAAAGTGCCTTATTGGTTATTAAGCGTATTAAAATCTAAATTATTAAAATTAAAAGTGGTTATTTTCCAGAAGGGATGTTGGAAATAAAATAACCCTTCAAATGTTCCTCTCTGGACTGGCCCTTGAGACAGAGGCTGACAGCAAAGTAAGGCAGATAAATTAGTTTGAGATTAAACTATTTAGGGCCAGGAGTTGGTTGCCAGTTGGAGGCCAGGACTTGTGAATGTCATAAATTGACTAAAAGGCCACAAGGACAGTTTGTGGTGAACTTCCTGCTCTGTCCTGCTGCCCCAGCCTGAGAGAAACTTTCCTTCTCCTCTGCCCCTTTCTGTCTTTTTGCCTTGCTGGTTTGATGCATTTGCTGCCTGAACCATCCCTTTTTCTGTGCACAGCACGGTCCAGCTCTCACCTGCTCAGGAAGGGGTTAATCTCTCACCGGGACACTGTTCTCATCCAATCCTCATCAAACTCTCCGAATTCTGCTCTACCCAAACTCTGCCATCCCATATTCTGCTCTCCCTAAACTCCACTCCCCCAAACCCTGTCCTCTCTCCAAATCCTGCCATCCCAAATTCTGCTCTCATTCCTTCCTCCCCAAACTCTGGCCTGCCCAAACTCTGCTCTCAAATTCTGCTCCCCCGAGTTCTGCTCTTCCCATTGTACTCATCCAGCCCTCCCCAAACCTTGCTCTCCCAAACCCTGCTCACTCCAAGCTCTATCCCCACGCTGTCCCCAGTCTCTGTCCCCAGCCCCGCTGTCTCCATGGCTCCCCGGGGCCGGGCGGGGCACGTACCTGTACCTGGTGCCAAAGTACTGAAAGAACACCAGGTACCGGGCAGGGGCACCGGCCATGGCCGGCCCTCCGGGACCCGGACACAGCCCCGGGAACACAGACCCGGCACGGAGCGGGCCGGGCAGGGCAGCACCGCCCGCAGCGCCGCCCCTTCCCCCGGCCGGCACGGCCGCTTCCGGCACGGCACGGAACGGAACGGAACGGAACGGCGGGGACCGGAGGAGAGCGGGGCGGGCTGGTGGGGAACGGGGTGGGCTGCAGAAGAACGGAATGGGATCGCGGGAGCCAGGATGGGCTGGTGGGGAAAGGGGTGGTCTAATGGGGAACAGGGATGGGCTGGAGAGGAACGGGGTGGGCTGGTACGGAACGAACGGGATGGGCTGGTGGGGACCGGGAAATGGGCTCAGGTGACCGGGATGGGCTGCTGGGAACCGAGGATGGGCTCTGGGGAACAGGGATGGGCTGGAGAGGAACGGGGTGGGCTGGTACGGAACGAACGGGATGGGCTGGTGGGGACCGGGAAATGGGCTCAGGTGACCGGGATGGGCTGCTGGGAACCGAGGATGGGCTCTGGGGAACAGGGATGGGCTGGTGGGAGATAGGACCTGCTCATGGGAACTGGGACCTGGTAATGGGGACCTTGGATGAGCTCATGGGGATCTGGGATGTGCGGTTCGGAACCTGGGATGTGATCATGGGAGTCAGGATGTGCTGATGGGATGGGAACTGGGATGTTGTGCAAACATCAAACCCCTCTGGAACCCTGGGCTTCACCTCAGCTGCTCCTCAGCTCTCCACTGTGCTGCCTGCAACTCAGTTGGATGGAAGAAAACAATAATAATAAAAATAATAATAATGTTGTATTGATTTCAGCTAAGAAAACACATAAAGCAGGGACCACAAGAGATGCTCCAAGGGCTGGGAGAGCTGGGAATGTTAAAAACCTGGAGAAGGCTCCAGGGAGACCTCAGAGCACCTTCCAGGGCCTAAAGGGGCTCCAGGAGAGCTGCAGAGGGACAAGGGACAGAGTGACAGGACACAGGGAATGGCTTCCTTGGAGTGGAATTCCAGAGCAGCTGCCCCTGGATCTCTGAAAGTGTCCAGGGCCAGGTTGGAGCACCCTGGGATGGTGAAAGGTCCCTGCCCGTGGCAGGGGGTGGGAAAAATGGCATTAAACATCAAATTTCACTTCATTTCGTCCGTGTTCCTGTCCATGGCTGGGTGAGGTCTCCTTGTGACATCTGTCAGGGCCCTTGGCCTGTTGATTCACTTATGGCTTCAGTTTAGAGGTAGGATTTTCTTCAAACATGGGATTTTCACGTCAGGCCCTTCTCTCAGTTCACAGAAAGTTCATCTGAAACCATCAGTGAGCGATGTGGTTGCTGCTGCTGGGTCTGTGGTGCTGGGTGGGTGGAAGATCAGGATTAATTAACCTCAATTAGCCACACCACTGTTTGTTGCCTGTCCTGTGGCAATGGAATTCACCTTCAGCTGGACCCACAAACCCAGATGTGCTCCTTCCCCAAGTGATTTCTGCAGATTTATCCCCTGGCTGCTGGCAGCAGTAAATCCACTGCTTATGGAAAATGAAAAACTGGATTAAGGAGGGACAGGATTGGTGCCAATCCTGCTGCTGGTTATGGAATTTTACCATTGGATTGGGTTTGTTCATCCTGCCTGGAAATCATGGAAGGGTTTGGATTGGAAAGCTGAAATTCAGCTATTCTGGAAATCATGGAAGGATTTGGATTGGAGAGCTGAAATTCAGCTATTCTGGAAATCATGGAATGGTTTGGATTGGAAAGCTAAAATTCCTAATGACAGGTGAAAAAAAAAAAAGGGAGAAGAGATAAATCCTAATGGCAGGTAAAAAAAAAGGGGGGGGGTGAAATGTGGATAAATCCTAACAATAGGGGAAAAAGATGGATAAATCCTAATGGCTGGTGTGCAGGAGGGGAGGTCAGGGCTGTGTCCGTGCCGTGTCCGGTTCTGTCCGGGGCTCCGCAGGAGGCGGGTCCGTGCTGTTCCCGGTTCTGTCTCGGTGCTGCGGGAGGCGGATC